AGAACTGAGTACTTCCTCCATTATAAATGAAACTAGAAGTAGACAGGTACAGTGTGTGTGTGTGTGTGTGTGTGTGTGTGTGTGTGTGTGTGTGTGTGTGTGTNGTGTGTGTGTGTGTGTGTGTGTGTGTGTGTGTGTGTGTGTGTGTGTGTGTGTGTGTGTGTGTGTGTGTGTGTGTGTGTGAAATTCTCCTCATTATTGGTTTTTCTGCTCTTCTTCTCATCATTGATTCTCTCTCTGAAGAAAATGAAACAGAAAATCTTTCACTTATCTCTCTCTCACACACAGTGGGATGCACCCAATTCTCTCCCTGTCTCCCTCTGCTCTCCGCTCACTCTCTAATTATCTCTGAAGCGAACGTCTTGTCCTGTTACATTGTGTTTCGGAGCTCCTCACATACCACAACATTAGAGAAGTTAACAGGGAGTATTGTCCCTCCTGTCTCTTTCTCGGCTCGCTTTTCTCACATCTTCTCTCCATCACTCTGTCCCTCCGCCTGCGCTCCCCTCTCTCTCTCCTTGAGGTGAACGTCTTGTCCTGTTACACTGTGTGTTTGAGTTTGTCTCAGACTGTGACACTTGAAGAGTGAATAGGTAGTACCAGCAGCTCATGGAGAACAAGAGGCGCTCGGCAGTTGCATAAAAAGGCTGCAGTGCACTCTGCCAGTGCTGCACTTAAAACAACCAGTCCTTTCGCCACATTTGGACTGGAACACCGTGCTGGAGAGAGAGGGAACCCATCTTCTGAGGTGAAGTGTCACTTTGACAACTCAGAGAAAAAATCCTGCCGAGTCAGTAAGGAGTGAAACAGCTCTGTTTTGAGGTGGCAGTAGACAAAGGCTAAATACAGACTGGCAGTAGCACTGTGTCACTGCATTAGCACAGCAGGGGTCCAGAAGCAGAGGGCAAATTAAATGCAGGGTTGTCCAGCAGTGCACTGTGTGGACCAATCAAATGAGTGCAAGCACAACATCCACATAAACAGTTTTCAGACATGAACTACTCAGCGTTTCAATATGAAGAACACAGCAGGAGACGATCTGGTCAAACGTGTTCACAACAACAGAAAGATGTCCGGGACATTCAGGTGAGGGGTGGTGTCTGGGTAGAGAATGCAGGACGCAGAACGTGACGCATAAATTCCACTTCTGAAATCACATGTTTCTGTTTACAGCACACAGACACCAGTGTTGGCCTGGGTCTTTCGAAGTTGATCTTCATCTGCGTCTTGTATAACACCTCTATTTCATCTTGATATATACTGACTTGAAAATTTCAGGGAATTTTGCTGAGTTCAGCGTCTGTCCTTAAAAAACAGCTAAAAGCTTAGGCTACATTCAGACTGACAGTACGACTGCGTCACTGGATTAATAAACAGCAGGGGTCCGGAAGCAGGGGGCAAACACCAACATGTGGACCAATCAAATGACTTGCAAGTACATCCACACAGATTACTTTATAACATAACAGTACATTCTACTTTTAATATTATTGCTGAAAGAAGAGGAGATTATATGATTGCTGACATGATACAGTAACTACAACTATCCATTCATCCATCATAGATACCGCTTATCCTTTGACGGTAGATAAACAACCAGTCACACTCACACCTATGATCAATTTAGAGTCAAATTAAAATCTTTCACATACAAAGGGAGAAAATGCAAACTCCACACATAAAGATCCTAGCCAAACGGGGATTCGACCTGCTAACCTGCTTGCTGTGAGGCGACAGTGCTGATAACATCCTGCTTTTGGCAGATTGATTCCTGACTTCCCAAAACTCAGCTTGCATCAAGAAGGGTGTCTGATGTAAAAACCTAAGATGAATCAAATATATAGCCACTGTAGCAACAGCTTACGAGAGCAGACAAAAGATAAAAACATCCACAACAACAACTTTTTTGCTAATAAACCTTCAACTTAATGAATGCTCTAATCAAACAGCACTTCCTGGATCATATTTCATCTTCCCACCGTTACCTCTAGCAACACGCCAACACACCCCTTTGCGTTTTTTAAATGCAGCCCTATTTTTAGTCTGACCACCTGCTCAGAGAAGCACGTTTGAGTTGATTCTCAATCCTGCGACCATTAGTGAAAGTTTGGAGTAATGCTCTCGGCTCCCTGAATAATAAGTGCTCATGTGCCCTTGAGAAAGACAAAGGGAGAGACTGAGGGGAAGTATGACTGCATTCACATGACACTAGTTGAAAGTTTGAAGCAGCATGCATTCTCAGCATATTTGAAATACAGTCTAAATGCTGTAAAGAAATTTCAGCATGAGGATTACGGTGGTTGGTTTTGGTCCACAGAAATATGGAAGAAGAGAGTAAAACTTGTTCCCACCATCCCATTAACCCCAATTACTAATAAAGTATGAAGGAAGCTACAAGACAACAGCAATAGCAGCAGATTGTTGGTACAAAGCTGTAGTTCATGCATATTTTTAGTTAAAATGTGGATTTCACTGTTCAAATAATACTGTGTTCAGTGATGTCCCAGCAGGCACTGGACAGAAGAGAGCAGAGACTGCCAGAAAAGAGAATGATAACCATCCATCCATCCATCCATTATCTATAGGGCTTAAACTTTGAGGGTTGTGGAGGGAGCCGGGTGGGGGCGAGAGGCAGGGTACATCCTGGACAGGTTGCCAGTCCATCACAGGGCCAACATACAAACTCAAAAGACAATTCATTTTCACCCTCACAGCTACTGTCAGTTTAGAGTCTCATATTACATAAACCTAATCTGCATGTCTTCGGATACTGGGAGGAAGCCAGACTATGCAGGGAAAACCCATGCAAACATGCAAACTCCAAACAAAAGACCCCGGCTGAAGCAGGATTTGAATCAGAAACCTTTTTGATGTGAGGCATCGGTGCAAGAATTCTGCACCATGCCAACCGTAAAGAATTATAACAAATAGGATTAAAATGTTCAATTATAGTTTACGTTTTTGAGATCTGTGAGAAAAGTCACATGTAGTTGTATGTTTCACACCCTATATAACATTTTTACCATTGAGATTTAATCCAACTACTGTCTTGCAATGTATGAATAGGTGTTTTCATATGCGTGTGTGTGTGTGTGTGTGTGTGCTCTCCTTCTCAGCAGCCCACCATTAAACCTCTGTGCCAGCCCTCTCCCAGCACACCAGGATTAACAGCACTTAAATGGGCCTGTTAGTACACCACCTCCTCAATGCCTCCCACACCGACTGCCGCTCATGGTGCTGCCCGGAGCTTTGCGCTCGCAACACGCTGCCTCTGTTGTTTTTTGTTCTCCGCTCACCCCCAGCCACCTAAGCCTCATCTAATAAATGGTGCTGGGGTGTACTCAGTGGGGGGCTAAACCCAGAACATCCTCTATTTTACAAACCTTTTGGAATATGAGTGGATGATAGAGAGAGCAAAAGAGGAAGGGAGAGAGGTATATCCTGAGACTGAACCAGATGGGCTCCCTCCCACTTTCATTCTTTATTATTGTCTCTCTTTCTCTCTGTCCTTTGCTCTTTTGTAAAATCATACAGTTTAGGACTGCAGCACACGACCAAACACACACAAACAGGGGAGGAATGGAAGCCCACTACAGGAGTCAATAAATAAAATAGATTTCCATTTGAGTCTGTCGGCTGTTCAGGAAGATAGACAAATGTGAGAATGTGGACAGTGTGTGTGTGTGTGTGTGTGTGTGTGTGTGTGTGTGTGTGTGTGTGTGTGTGTGTGGCCTAATGCCAGTGGCTGTAATGTTAACAGCCATCTACTGGCCTCAATTAGAAATTCCAGAGATAACTAGAGAGCAACAGACAGAGGAACTGAGACAGAAAGGAAGAGGGGACCAAGTGATCCATTCAGTAATCTTGCTACTATGCACTTGAAGTGGGAGGAACAAGACGGGTTGTAAACAAGCCGTATTCATATTTCATATCATAGTCATGCTATGATCCTAATGATTTTGCAAAGTTCTGAATTATTTATGTCACGACGCAGCAGAAACACACAAAGTTAAAAAACACTAAAGAATCTTAGCTGCTGATTCCACTTTGGGAAAACTTGTGTTTGACAGCATCAACGTTCAAAAAGACAAATAAAACAGATGCACTACTACTTGAGAAAGCAAAGGATAGATTGTAAAAGACAGAAATGTATGGTCTTATTTTGACATCCTTTTTGCCGCGCTACACACAGGGAAGTCACAGAGGTCCCTCTCGGAACAAGCTCTGTTTAGAAAATCATTTTTTAATGTGGGGAAATGCTCTTTCAACTTGTTGGATGACAGCTGAAGTAAAACTACATATACAGTATATATATATATATATATATATATATGATGTAATATATATATATAAATATATATATATATTCAACTCCTTTTAAAAATGCGCAGTTTACGGCTCTTAGGAAATCGTAATTTCATTTAACACAGAGATGAACTGGTTTAGTAGATAATCTGTGCTTCCTGTTTAAAAGGTGAAAAACGAAAGATATTCCCTGCTAATTCATATTCATACCATATGGAGCATCATATGGGGAATATGTTACTGCCACCTGACATGGACCAGGACATGAAGCAACATGCAATCATTCCTCTGTGCGCCATCTGAAAAACAGATGGAAGATTAAAAGACGAGACTTTGTCCTGTTTCTTATTCAAGTCATATGGATTAATGCAGCATATGGAAAGAGTGCAGTGTTGACAAACTCACCAGGATGTAACAAATGTCTTTTCAACACATTTGTATTCCTGGGTTTAAAAAAAAACAAGAAAAAACATCATGTGTCTGAGCGACATATGTTTTGTCAGTATGGTCTGACATGTTGTTTGAAAGGTAGCGTGTGCAGCATGGGACAGAAATGCATGTGTGTTTGTGTGTGTATGTGCTGAAAAGGAAGTCATACTTGTTCTCCTGAGAGAGGAGTCTTCGTACTCAGATTTAACTTCAAAAATAGATACATACAAAATCGCATGTTTATTTATTTTTAAATCACTGCTTACCTTTTTGATTTCTTCAGGCAGTGGATAGACTGGAGGACTGCAACAAACCATTGTGATTTCCTTCTCCTTCTCCTCCTCCATTCTCTGCTTGTCTCCTGGAAACAAGCAGAGGACCAGCCCCAATTAGCTACACTGCAAATTTACCGTGTGTTATGAGTTTTCATCCGAGGGAGCAAACAACTATTTCCATACTGATTAATTTGTTGTTTTAGTTTATCTAGTTCATTGCTTCATCTATACAAAGAGTTGAAAAAAATAAACGTCCTGGGAGATATTGGGAAATTGTTTGTTTTGAAGAACAGCACAAATTAATTAAAAGTGCTATTGAACAGAGACAAGTTACAGATGCTTTACAACATCTGGAGCCAGTGGATGTTTGACATGAACATAGTTATAAATAACTATGTTCATCAGAATTAGAATGGCATTCAGTAGAGCCCATATCTCCACCAAGGCCCAACAGTCCCCTTATCAAGCTGCACCAAATTGCACACGTCAATAAATATCTAACTATCTATCTCTAAATAAACCTGATTACATTGTTTTAAATCAAGATCAATGGATTATTCTCAGGGAGATCAGTGAACATTTTAAAAAGACAGATCTGAGCAATTCAAAATTTGATGGGTTCTTCTCTGACTCATACCACAGTAGCAGCTTTCAGGAAAAAATGTTTATGTGTTAAAACAATACATTTAACAATAATCACTCAAATAAAGCCATGGCATCCAAGGTTTTCTACCTGATATTATACCCAGGAATATTGACTACTCTTTTGAGGAAAAAGGGTGGAACTTTTAAACTGATGACTTAGCCTCTGAGGTTAATATAAGGGTAAATCCCTTAGCGTGATGTCCACCATATTAAATCCATTTGCTGTACACTCTATTCAATAGATTAATCAGTCAAGCTTACAGCATTAAGCTTATAGACTGTAGATTATGGCATTTCACAGCTGAGGGGTTTTGCCTTCACAGCTATACATTAGCTTGTCCTCCACCACATGGTAACAGAGAGTTTAACAAGGACTGATTCAAACTTTAAGTGAGGGAACTTTGCACAAAACAAAGTTCTAATAACCTATTTTGTGTGAGTTGTTAAGAAATGATGGAGGTGATAGTTTACTTGAGCAATGTGTTCTAGGTTTCGGCTGTTTTGTAACAGTGGTACAGTCAGTTATGTGAACATGGGTGCAGCAGGTCGTGCAAGAACAGTAATGCCAGCCCAACCCAGCCCCTGTTTGTCTATCTGTGTGTGCATGCTTTCAGAGCATTTATCTATCAGCTCACCATTACTGCGGGGAAAGCATCACGCCAACTCAACACTTGACCTCAGATTAAATACCTCTAGCTAACTTAGGGCCATAGGTCATTTCTATCAGAAGGTCCCTGATGCACGGCTGCATGCCAGACAATAAATGCCCTTGCAGACAATCTGAGGGAAGTAGAGTGAGAGGAGAATGTGCAGCACAAACACATGAGAGTTTGGCCACAAGCACAATGCACACAAACATACAGTCTGAGAATTCATGCAAAAACATGCAGGTTTAACTTGAGGCACTGTCTAAACATTTAAGCACTAGCATGTCAACAAGCTTGTGTACCCTCTCTGTCTTTCTCACACACACCAGTACAGACACACAAACCCTGCCCAATCAAAGAGCAGGCTTCATGCTCATGCAAGCTAATAGCCTGATTGCCCCCCTACTGTCTCCAGGCCCTGCACTTAAAACACAGCAGCGATCCTTCGTTGGCTCACACAACGCAGATAAATTAGTAACTGCCCGTGACAGCATTAAGCAGGCCTATCCTTTTAGATGGATGCAGATATAAAGGGCGGATTTTGCATGACAACTGTTCCCTCGTGACATTTTGTCCGTTTTAGCCCTGATTGAACTATTAATCAGTCTAATGTGAGAGAGGCAAGCTGTTCATAAACTCATCTATTCTGCATGGACGCATGTCTGAGTCGTGAGAGGAGAACATGCACGAACACATAAACTCATGAGGGCCCACAGTTTGGCATGAGCAAAAATACAGGCACTGCAGGGGAAAAAGCATTTAGCCACTAGGGAGCAGAGGACCAAAGACACAGTGACCTACCAAATCCTGGAAGAATATCAAAAACTTTGATTTTATTAAACCATAAAGATATTTGGTTGTTGCAGTTCAGCAGCACTGGATACCTTTGGGGTCAAATCTAATCAGCAAGTGTCTTTCCTTTACTTTAATTAGTATGGATCAATTAATCAGATGTTGTTTATATAGTACCATTCAAACAAATCAAATGCAATTCAGACTGCTTTACTGGTGATTGATTGATTGAAATGCTGAATTATATAACACCTTGGATTAAGGGACTATTTCCGACCTGAGCAATCAACATTAGAAAAGACAACAAATAGAAGATAATAAAAGCTGCAGTAAGCAAGCAGTAAATTAAACAAATACAACCTACAACCTCAAATAATTATACTCTAAGATATAAATGATGTACTAAAATAAATAAGATAACAATAAAATCACGAAACACTGTATAAAAGACAGATTAAAAAGGTTGATTTTAAATGTATGTTCATGAGCATCACTGGCACAACTAAAGCACATCCAATCCAAACATGCAGGCTTAAGGTTTACTCATATAAATAATCCCTCAACAACAACAACACGTGGGGGCTATACAGGCATTTTAGGAAAGAGAAGCTAAAAGCATAAATTCAACAAATTGCTGGTCTGTACATTAACTTCTGTTTTCTTGTGCTGGTCATTACCTGGTATAAACTCTACATGTGTTAAAGTCGTTGTATGTGAATTGAGGGACAGGAATTATGTGAAAAACTCAGCAAAAGATACTGAATCGACATGTAAACAAATCAGTGCGCGCTCTCAGCTAATTTAGCATCAGAAGCTAAGAGTCACAAATGCTACTTCCTGTTTAGACTTGTATTCACTGTGGAGCAGAGTCCGTCTTCACCTACCCATCGTCAACAGCATCGATCCGGCTGAAGGTCACAATCATCACAAATTACTTTAATTCGCTTCAATATTCAACTCGTGTTTCTGCCGCTGTGAGCCGCACTCTGACTGTTGCTATGGTTACGACGTAACACTGGTACGCAGCCACGCAGAGCGGAACGGCCAGGACGAGCACCGGATGTTGACTTTCTTTCAAAACAAAAGCATTTCAAATAGTTTGAATATGGGGGGTGATTGTTTGTCAGTAATGAAATGTATCTGTCACGTACTGTTTTCAAGTGCAGCTGGGATATACTTCTTCTGGTTAGTTCGTTCCATGTATACCATCGCCTACACCATTATATTTCATGCAGAAATACTAACAGCAACTACTTACACTCTAGATTAAATATAAATCAGATACATTTAAATAAAATAACATATAAAATTGGTGTAAATTAAATATACTATGTAGTATATCACTATATAACTACATTATGTAAATAATATAATCCAATATTATAATACAGCATTTAACATTGTTTACCTGTATGAGTACTTTTACTTCAACAACCTTTTACTTTTAAACATTTTACATGCATCACATTTACATGTCATTAAGTAGTTTAAAGGATCTAAGCACCCCTGCCACCACATTGGTTATGATCATACACAACTAACAAAGACAAAATAATATTTATTCTTACACCAAAGCAGCAACAATGAAAAACATGAAAAACATTTGAGCTGTAGAGGCAGAGACTCCACCTCAGCTGTCAGCCACTAGTGTGGCAGCTTCTCTTTTTCTCCTCTTGAGCAACAGTTAATCTTCACCACAACCACCTCAGCTGCCCTCAGTCTGCACCTAACATGCGACATGTTAGGTGCTTTGGCACCTAACATGTCGCATGGCAAGGAAGATCCAGGACAGACACGAACAGGCCAGAGATATTCCTCTTATTCTGACATTTATCTGAGGTGTGGGAGGTTTGTATGTCTTTATACAGTTATATATTTTATTATAATATATTACATATGATGCAACTCTAGGTTAACAAGTACAGTTGTCAAAATAACAGCGCCTGCAGAGAAACACACACAAAAAATGGTGAGAATACATTTAATATAAATTTGCCATTAAAAGAAAAAAGAAAAAATGTGTTAAGATAAAGCAGGAACAGGATATTGCACACAAAATGAAGACTGACAATGCCTTGAAGTCACATTTGCTGAGCTTTGCCTGCATGCATGCACGGGGTCACACTCCATGCTCTGTTTGGGTTGTTTGCATTTAATTCATTGCCTCAGAAGTAATGTGAAATAATGGCCAGACATTCCCGCAGGGGCTTTTACAGGACCAATCGTTTTGTGGTAATAGATTGTTAACAAATGTCTTTCGACAGACACTTTTGTCTTTTTCTATGTGATATCATCGCTCTAGTTTTTTCTGCGGCTGAACCAAAGCAAACCTGTGTCTGAATGTAACAGTGTGTGAGAGAATCAAGGGACCGAGAGATCTTTGGTATGATTTCATTTGGGACGCATGCTGTGCTATTTATGGAACCGTCAATGAATCGTGCAGACTCAGTCGCTCTGATGCAAATTGCACTCGCCCACTCAAGTCTAGCCTACCTTCCGTGTTAGTCTATCTGCCTCCACAGCAGAAAGAAAGAAATTTGTGAACGTGACAAAAAGGGTGGAGAAAGAAATTGTTGCACTCAGGCAGAGACAGTAATCAAACCTTGCACCCCGCTGGGCTAGAGAGAGGGGAAAGACAACCCTTGTCTCTGTGTCTCCCCCCTCCTCTTTCTGCCTCGCTCCCTCCCTGCATTCGGTCATATCCTCAAATACCCCCGTGGCAAGGACAAAAGAAGGAGCTGCGAACATTTTGTACATTTAAGGCAGAATCGCATGCAAAGCGGTGTATTTGGGTCACAGTAGTAAATCATGTCACATGTAAAGTTTATCTGAGTTTTCTTTTAAGGAGCTTATATCAAACAGTTAAACAAATAACCTCCTTTGTGAATAGTCTGGTTGCATGTCAATGATTTAATTCCATTAGTGTGATCATCACATCATTTTAATGTAGCGTTCATATCCATTTCACTTTAGCTGGTTTTAATTGAATCTCATCTGGTTAATGATTAATGAGAGCTTGAATTTGCTAAAGAAACAAAACGCACTGTAATGTCTTTGTCGTAATTGTTTGTGGAACCACTAGACTGTATTTTTGGGCAGCCTCTGTGGCAAAAGTAAATTAACCTAATTTGGGGAAGGTGCATCCAGTGTTTTAGGGGCACTGAGCCTGCAGGGACCGGGAGCTTGGCATCTATTGAGTCTGTTTCCGGCACGCTATGCTGTGTGGGCAAGTGTATAATGAAGCATGCTGAGTGTGTGCTTGCGTGCATGTGTGTGTAAGAGAGTGAGAGAGAGAGGGAGGAATGAGAAGGAGGGGGATGGGTGACTGGTGAAAGTGTGTGTGTGTATGTGTGTGTATGCACGAATTTAAGAGGATGGAGGAGGGTTGAGTATGACCCACTATTCTCTTTTTGGAATGAAATGACTAATATTGTCACGCTTGACATATTTGGTGTAGGCTGTGCATGCAGGGACAAATCCAATGGCCAAATTTGCAGGCTGGACAAAAAGGACCAGTTCAAAACTGTGACAATGACAAAAGAAAGAACAGATTGACAATGCTGATGGGACAGACTGGTGCTCACAACACACAGACTGTGAATTTAAAAGGTCTTTCTTCTTTGTGCATTACGATACAACTTTTATGACATGAGCCTCCTCTACACTAGCTCACTCAGTCAACTCCAACCCATCAAGCCTCCCTCCGCTTTCACAGTGCTCCTCGGATAAGGGCTGTTTTTCTTGGTATTTCTTTGGATAGCACCAAATGGTCCTCTTGAGCACGCAACGCTCTACTGTACAAGCCCCTGTCCATTCTGTGTGAATGTAAGACTTGTCCACCTGTCATGTTGCGTCATTGAGTGGAGTACCCTGATTTTTGTTTCGCCAGCTACTTACTGGGCCTCTGTTAGAAATGTTTTTTGTGTTTCCCTTTTTAGAAAAAATCCCACGTGTGATTCATGAGACATTTGCTGAAAGACTGTTCCCACACATGCCAGCTAACTTGTCACTGGTTTGTGTAAATGTCTAAATATTCCTAAATAAGGGCATCAGTCCTCAGTGTGGAGAAAAGCTCCATTTGGAAACTAAAAAGACAAATGAACTGACGCGTATCTGAAAAAATAATAATTATAACAGCAAGAAAACATGGAATCTATATGAAAACAGTTAGCCTTTATTGTCATATTCATTCTGTAAAATGTGTTAAACCTTGTGAGAGTTAAACTTAAACTTTAAAATGATTGTAGGGTGGTTGAGCAGTGTCTGAAATCCCTTTTTGCTCACATCTTTCCCAAGGCAGATTTGGGGAGAGGGGTCTGAATGTGATAATCTTTTGTAAGCCTCTAAGAACTGACAATCCAAAAAATGTAACGCTATATCATATGCTATGAGATGAGCAATCAGGCACGATGAGTGTCCTCTTTTTTTTTTTAAATATTGCATAATTTTTAAAGTGTAAGATTACGAATGTTGAATGTGAGAAGAGCTTGTTATTCTTTTGTATTTAGATAACGATCATCGCATCTTGGATGTGGCTGTTCGTCAGAAATCTTTGGTGACGTGTAGTGCGAGATAGTTTTATTCAATTGTACCCTGACCTTACACAACCTCTACTTGCATCAGCCACTAAGCAAAGGCCTGTTTACTAAAAAGTGACGCTGTTTACAAGTCAAACAGGAGCAATACATCTTGCTACCATGTGGGGCCACCAGTGAGTGCAGTGGCTCAGGACAACTTTTAAATCATGTGATGTAACGCAACCATTTTAATTTTAGACATGAATCTGCCCAGCTGTGTATCTCAGTTATCTCAGTATCACAGTTTCATTTTGTGAGACTTGGAGTCTTCAGGTTGGTTTGTCTGTCTGTCTGTCTTTCTGTCCTTCAGTCTGTGTCCGTCTGTCTGTCTGTCCTTCAGTCTGTCTCTCTCTCTGCTTGAATCTCTACTCTGCTCTCTGCTTGCCTGCCTGCCTCTCTCCCTGTCTTTTTGCTTATCTGCAGGACTACTAAGTGTGTGTGTGTGTGTGTGTGTGTGTGTGTGTGTGTGTGTGTGTGTGTCTGTACTGAATGGATTTGCATGAGAGCCAGTGGGGTGACCCTGCTCTCTCACGCCAAGGCTTCTGTGGAACAAATAGGACTAGTCGGCTGTCGTGACAGCACTCACATCAGTTTAAATAGGAGTGCTGTGCTGCAGCCGCGCGCGTGTGTGTGTGTCTGTGTGAGTGTGTGTTTAAGCAAGCAGCCAGGCACGCATTTAGTGAGAAAAGCTTTGCAAGGCTTTGTCTGTGTGTGTGTACAGCCTGTGTGTTTCAACCTATGAGCATGTAGTATCTTATGAGTTTTTGTGAATATAAGGTCAGTTATATTAAGAGTTAATGAGCTCAGTGTGTGTGTGTGTGTGTGTGTGTGTGTGTGTGTGCGTGTGTGTGTCTCAGGCCAAACACTCCACCACAGAGTTGCTCTGGAAAGGAACAGGTTTGTCCTGAAAGGCCAACCTGATTGTGAATAAATGAAGGCTGTCGCAGGGTGAAACAGAGTTCACCCCAGCACACATCACTGCAGTGTCAATGAGTGCCAGCCACAATTAGGAATTATAACACTTCACTGGAGTCATAAAGAGACGTGTTGTTTGGGAAGGTGCAGTCAGGGACTGATAAAATGTTAGATATAATTAAGTTAATTATTTCTGGATTGTTTACCTAAACACAGGCTCACTTTATGTCATATTTTTCTATCTACTCGCTCCTATTCTGTCTGTTAAAATCATATCACTTTTCTTTTTTCTGTTTTCTGTTTTACCCTTATATTTTTCAATATATGTGCTCTATTCTTCTATATTTTTACACTCTCATATATCTATTTTCGACTGTAGAGAGAGGCCTCTTAAAATGTCATTGTAGCCGTGCAATAAAGTATTTCTAATCTTTTAGGTACAGTGTGTTTAGTTGTGAGTATCACACATTAACAC